GGGGGGAAAGAAACGACGGGGGGGGGAAACAATCGGAGAGGAAGAAGAAGAAGAAGAAGAAGAAGAAGAAGAAGAAGAAGAAGAAGAAGAATAGAAACGAGGAAGAAAAATAAGGAGAAAAAAATAAAATAAAAAAATTGTCGTTGATTACTTATCTGCGCGAACGACGGCGATGACAAGGACGGCGCGGTGCAGCGACGAGGACGACGGGCACGATGATGATGACGTGGCATGACGGCGGCGATCCCGTCGATGACGATGATGACAGGGCACAATGACGATGATCGCGATGATGATGTTGATGATGGCCAGGTGACGATGTTGAAGCAGGGTGGGTCGGGCGGGTTCGGACCGCTCCAATACCAGTGTAACGAGCGAGAGGCTGAGGGAGACAGGGAGAGCCGGGAGAGGAGAGAGAGAGGGAGAGAGCACACACACACACTCACTCACTCCACACGACTGAGGGTCGGACGCAGACACAGGGGCAAGGACACAAAGTCGAAGTCTTGGATTCCGAATGCCGAACAGGAGCAAGTCACACTGGGTACGAGTACAGCAGCTGGAAACTGGTATCAGACTGGTCCCCGTACTGTACGGGGCACCGGTATAAGTACCGGGTGTCCGGTACAGTACCGGGGGCAGTTCTGCAAAAGCCCCGAGGGCAGAACTGAAAAGTGCGGTATTTGAAAGTGGCGCCCGAATGGCAGCATGGCGCCAGTTGTCCAAGATCCTACGGTACCAAAGGAGGGGTTTGGAAAAAGGGTGCCAGGCCAAAAACGGGATGCAGCCGAAACAGCAAAAAGATAGACCAGGGATCGAGCCCTGGCGGAGTCCGTAACACATACCCTACCCCCTCTCTACCCCTTCCCTCGTTGTGTCATGCTACTGATGGTCAGCCACACCCCTCACTGTAGTGGCAAAAGGTTCTTGTGAATCACAGGCAAGATGCTAACAGATTTAGATACATGCTTTCTGTGAAGATTTTAGAAACATTCTGCCAAAATAATGCCCCCAAGTTAATCACGCGCGACTCCCTTTCATCCTTAGTTGCTCTGAGTTAAAACTTAAAAACGTGTCCCGCCCCACCCCATCCCCCCCCACCCCACCGCATCTCACACGTGCATGAACAAATGAACAAACGATCGATCATATGAACGAACAATTGAACAACGGACAAAAGAATGAATGAACGAACAATGGAGGAACGAAGGAAGTAGTGAACCAAAGACCCGACGAAGGAAGTTCAAGGAACAAAGGAAGAAAGAAAGGAACGAACGAATGAACAAACCAAGAAACAAACCAATGATCGGATGAACAAACAAACCAAGAAACAAACAGACGAAACAAACAAACAAACACAAGGGGGAAAAAAGAGTTGCAGAATCACTGGAAACCATCAAATGAGATCGTAAATAGGTGGATTGGAGGAGCTTGAGGTTGAAAAAATGAATATGTTTGGCCGGTGAGGTTTAGAAGGCGGAAGAGTTACGATGATTTCGCGGTTATGACATATACCAATCGGGTCCGTTATGATGTCGTAGTAGTCAGGGACCTCACGCGAATCCACTGGGTCCTTAAACGGCCATGAATCTGTATGCTCTACCACCGCCTTCTCACGTCAAGATGAACCAGTCATGGTGGTTCCGTTCAAGAATGCCGCAGGAACAAGAAAGAGGCACAAACAAACATACAACTAAATGAGCGGTGGTAGATACAGCCATGGAATGAAGCCAATAGACATTAATTGAAGTTAATTGCTTCCATAGTATCCATTAGCAATGGAGGGCAATTGCTATTCTGAGAGCTCTGATTTTTTTATTTTTATTTTAAGCTGTATTCTTCTCTAAATTTCACCTCACACTACCTACCTACCACTACTCACACACAACAACCAACAAGATCTGCTGCTAAAGAGCTTCCCTTCATAACACAGCAATTATGGCCAAATACCTTGCGGTGTTAACTTTTAACTTTTTAAGTTTTAACTCTTAAACCACCACTACCTTTTACACTGGGACGCTAAGGGCATACTCACACGGGGGGGGACCTAAAGTATTAAATATTTGCGGCATTTGGCACCGCAAATTTGAGACTTTGGGTACACGTGTCGTCACGATGGCTGTGTCCAGAAAGGACAAGAGTCGCGGCCCCGACACTTGATGTCATGGGAAGGGCGGCTTGGTCACACTGCTCAGGACCCAAAAAACTAAAAAGGATTTTTTTATTTTATTTTTCAACGCTAAACTAACCAGCGGGCTGCTATCTTCGCGCACAAACTTTTGCAATTACTTTCAGAAAAATAAAAAAAACTTAAAAAAAGGGAATTCGCAACCACCTCTTGAGGTGGTTTCAAATAGGGTCCTCCCACGGGGCCTCACAGGCCGCTGACATTTGAGTCACCATAAAGTGCAAAAGGGTCGCAGGATGACCCAATGTGACCCGAAAAGTGCCTCAGATTTTGGTATTTTGGGTCATCAGGTCCCCGTGTGAGTATGCCTTGGGGCAGGGTTGGAGGCCAAAAACAAAAGAAAATTACAAAAAGAAGGGAAAAAAAAAAGGAAAAAAAGTTCAAAAAACTTAGTTAAGAACTGCAAATCCAGAGAAGTCGGGGAAGGCCCTCACAAAGGTCGAAGTCACACCACTGCTTTGAGGAATGTACCTGGCAACTATGTGTGGAACGTGATTGCTGTTGTTTTTGTTTTATTCTTACTTCTTTTCATTTCCTTTTGGTGCCCTGCCAGCAACGCCGAGCGTATTCCACGCGGAGCATAAAACTACCTCACTTCCCTCATACTCACACTAGTACTGTAGCACCCATATCGGACCGCAATCACAGCATAAGGGATGCTTTTATTTTATACCTTTCTTTATCTGTTGTTCGGTGGGACAGACACCCTCACTGAGGGCACAGCCACTGTTGCATACCGTAAAGGTGCAGACCAGAACAAGAACCGACCTCTCAATACAAAGTACAAGATAGCGCAGCGGAAAACTTAGATACCAATGATCCGAACAATCAATACTGCATACATCATCATCATCATCTCCATGGTGTGAAGCGGGTCTGGCGCTCACACAGGAAGAATGCGCCAGCCCCGAACCATACACAGACGAAGAAGAGGGGGGTTAGACGAAGAAGAGGGTACGATGGGAATGTCGTCAACACCAAGTCTTCGGCACAGGCCCCAAATAGTCCCTCGTCAAATGTCTAAATCCCAATGTCGTGTCTGGATCCAATGTCGTCAAGTCTTAAGTCACAACTCTCTCTCTCTCTGTAGTAGTCTGCTGATACTGAGAAGTCAGGTGGTGAGAGAGTGAAGAAGAGATGGTGGACTTAGAAGAGGAAGAAGAAGAACTCTCTCTCTCTCTGTGTCCAGTACTAACCTGTGAAGTTGGTGCCTTGATGCAGGTACCTCGAAGATGGAGCTGGAGCTATGGCGCCACAGGTAAGTACCGCTGGCCTCCGCCAGCCATCTCTCTCCAACGCTACTACTACCAACTACTAGCGCCCTGCGCTGAAGACTACTCCTGCAGCTATGAGCGCCCAGCGCTGAAGACTACTGCTAGCGCTAACCACTACTGCAGCGCTCCTCCTGAGTGCTGCGGCCGAAACCTGAAGACTACTCGTGCCTACTGTCCAACTCCCTCCCCGTGAAGTGCATGGGACTCACTATGTACTACACGGCCTGCCTCCTGACTGCAGGGCGAGGCAGTCCAGGAGGCTGCTCTTGCCAATGCCGCAGGGAGTCAGGGGCCGCCGCTGCAGCTCCTGCTTGAGGCTGTCGTGGGAACAGGCTAAAGATAGCCTGTTCCCGAAACCCTGGTTTTGTGCCTGAGTATTAGGGTAGGTCGATCTTATGAGGGCCCGAAAGTGGCCCTCCGTTTCAGGCTGAAAGGCTGAAAAGTTGTGAAAACGAAATAGGGCCTGCAGGCCCTCGTTTTCAGTTTCAGGCTGAAACGACATGGGGCCTGTAAGCCCTATTTTCTAGGCTTTTAGGCTGAGAATGCGGGACGGGCCCTGCAGGCCCGTGTGGCTACGCAGTACGCCACAGCCACACTGGCACCTCACAGAATGCATCTCATGGTTATCACGGTGTTAGGAAAGTCCCTTTTTTTTCTTTTATGGATGCAACTGCCCAGGCTCGGCAAAACTTGCTGCGCAGTGAACTTCAGGGTCGGCAAAAACATAATCAGACGTAGTGCCATAGTGGTGGTTTAAGCTGGATAGTAGATAGTGTTCAATTTGCCTGATACGTTGCTGAAGGTAGAGACACCGGAGAGAGTTAACGTTTGACTTTTGAGCTAACATTATCCAACAGCTTGCTGATAAGCTACTAATGTCTATTGGCTTCATTCCATGGCTACGATCCGAACGTCTGAGGGAAAAGCTAGGCTGTTTTTCCGGGCGCCCAGGCACCCAACTTGTGGCCGGATAGACGCCCGGGTGCCTGGCTGGGCATGAACCCTGGGCAAGGTTCTGGGCAGCCCCAGCGTCAAAAAAAAAAAAAAAAAAAAAAAAAAAAAAAAAAATTCCGGAAAAAAAAATATGTTGTATAGGATTGAAATGCAAACCACTTTTGGCTG